AGCAGTTTTAACTTTGTCTGAGGCAGCAACCCCCCCCCGTGACCCCCCCCTTATGTAGAGAAGACAGGAAGGAGCAAGGCTGCTTAAGGAACATACATCCCATCATCTGATCCTTCACACCTCACGTGTAAAAAACAGGTCAAAATATTCCTGTCAGGCTCTGGGTTCCAATTGTGAGGACAGGTAAGATTGGTGCTCCCATCACTGGGAGGGGGGGGATCCCTTCAAACATGCCCCCCCGCCACTTTCCTCCTTTAAATTCCTGGGAGTCTTACCTCAGTGAAGATCTTACCTGGAAAGCCTACACAACCCAGGTGGCCAGAAAGGCCCAACAGAGACTCCATTTTCTCAGGGTCTTGCGAAAGAATAAAGTGGAACAACGACTGATCCACCATAGAAAGCGTCCTCCCACATTGCATGACGGTGTGGTATGCTGGCTTGACAGCCACGGATAGAAAGACATTACAGAGGGTGGTGAGCACAGCACAAAACATCGTGGGCTGTCCCTTGATACCACTAGATGACCTCGCTAGGGCTCGCTGCCTTAGAAGAGCAAGGAAAATCCTCAGGGACAACTCATACTCCAGTCAGCCCTTCTTCACTCTCTTACCATCGGGAAGGAGATGTAGCACAGCCAGCCACACCAACAGGCTGAAGAACAGTTTCTACCTGTGGCTGTCAGGCTCCTGAACGGAAAATAACCCCATGTCAACATAGTACGATAGACTTGCGGGGCCGGCGCATTGTGCAACAAGGTCACTTAGTGTAATGAGATTGGGATTGGATTAGGGACTTCTCTCCTCACTGTTAGTTGTGTTGGGGTGTGTGCATGAAGGGAGGCTCAGCCAATCTCATTGTACACATATTGTACTCTGACAATAAAGGTAGCAAGAATGAATGAATGGATGGGAAGGTGAGTTTCCTCAACCGGGAAGGGCCTTAAATGAAGTGACCTTAAATGCTTGTCAGGGCCAGCAATGGGACAGGGAACTGCAGGCCACAGAACTGCGTGGGGCAGGGACTGCTGTGGCTGGCTCCTCCCTGTCCAAGCAGTGGACACACACAATGCCTTGAGGTGGGGAGTACATAACCAAGGGCCCCCACTGCCTGAGCCCTCCACCCATCCTGCGTTTGACAGTCCTCGTCAAGCCCCTTTCCATCATTTGGGGGTCTCCTGTGGGTGCACCCAACCTCCAATGACCCAGGATCTCCCTGGGGAAGCTCAGTTGCAGGCTGCTCTTCACCGCTTGTGGGGGCTTCGGGTGCAATCGTGAGAAACCCTCCAGCCCAGGGAGCCCACATTGCTGGATCTCAGAACCGTGCCCCCCCCAGAAGACCTGGGCGGGGGGGGGGGGTGACCAGAGCCGCTCCCCCTCGTCTCCTCAACTCACACTGCCTGGGCAATGTCAGTGCAGGGATCTGGTGGGCTGGGATGGGGGGCAGAGCTCCTTCAGCCAGGGACACATGTGGTTTTCCGGCTTGGGGACTCTTGAGCCAAAACTTATTTGCAGGGTTGCCCGGCCCGACCCTCCCCCTTCTTCACAGGGCTGGCTGGCTGTGGGGGGGCCTTGGGGGCCCCAGCTGGAGGAGGGCCACCAAAGGCAGAGCAAGCCAAGGCCCAGTTCACCAGAAGGCAATGAGCCGCACAGCCTCTAAGCCAGGCCTGCAGCCGCCTGGCCAAGGAGCCTGCACTCCCCCCTCCAGAGAGGGGCTCCAGAAGGAATCCGGACGGCGGCTTAAATCCGAATCAAAAGGCAACGGCCAGAGGCTTTATTCAAAGTGAGTATAAAACAGTTTAGTCTGAATGGGGGGCAGAAGAGGGAAAGGGGGGAAACCATCAGGATCTGGAGGAAAGGCATCCTGTTAAGTTCTCGTCCTTTTGTAGCCAAGGGGCCCCTAAGGCAGCCGGGGGCCTGGTGCGGCCTGGCCAAGGAGGGGCCTCCAGGAGGGGCCACGCAGTTCTGAGCCAAGCGGAGCCTCCCCCGGCTCTAGCTTGGCGCCTTGGCGGTGGCGGCAGCCCCCGATTTAGAGCACAGCAGCTTCTCCACCATGGTGTGGGCGTAACGGAGGCGGCTGGCCAGCGCCTTGCAGCAGCCAAACTCCTCGATCAGGGCCAGCTTGTAGGTGTGGAACTCGCGCCGTTCGTTGATGTAGGTGACGGCGGCCATCAAGGGGCAGAGGATGACCTTGGTGTGGTCCTGTGGCCGAGAAAGGAGAGCAGGCCGGGCTCGCTTAGCACCAGGAGGGCAGCAGTGCCTGGTGGCAAAGCATGTGCCCCCCTCCCCCCGTTCTAAGAAGGGGCTCGGGGCTCCGGCTAGGAGGCCCCCAGGACTGGGGGTTGCAAGGACTCCAGTGCCAATTCAGAAACGTTGCCGTTGGTCTGCCTCCTTTCCTCCCAGGGAAGCCAGGTGGAGGTTGGGGACGGGGGACAGGGGGGTCAGTGCTGCTGTGTCCCCAGAGAGAGCGCTAGCACCTGGGGGAGGAGAGAGAAGGGCTCCCCCCTCCGCCACTGAAGCCCTGCAGTCTGAGCAGGGCCCCTGCAAGGCCAGCGTTTTGCTACCACCCCCACCGAGGGGTCTGCCTCACCTGGAAGAAGTTCACCTGCACGGTGCCATTGCTCAGGTGCAGGACGATGGCACTGCGGGTGCGAAACCAGTTCAAGAGGTAAGGCAGCCGTGCCAACTCGTCCCCTTCCCGGGGAGTCACGTTGGCTCCGGCTTTCAGCAAGTGCTCGCTCATGTAGTTCTGGAAATACTCCAGCAGCTTAATCTGGGGAAAGCGGAGCAGAGCAGGTGAGCCGGGCAGGGCAGGGCAGGGGCTGAGCCACCGCACAAGAAGCCCCCCCCCTCAAAGGCCGCCTTCCAGGAAAAAGCCAGGAGCCCCCTCCCCTGCACCCCTGGCCCCGGCGATCCCTTGGACGGGAGCATCTGTCCACCAAGCCTTTTGACGACACCCCCCCCCCCCCCCCCCTCTGGACCTCGGCTTTTCCTCCAGTCCAGATGGAAGTAAGGATGCCCCTTCAAGCACAGACTCGAGATTGCAACGGAGGGGACCCTCCCCTCCCCTCCCGCCCATCAGAGACAGAAGGGGAAACTGAGGCAAGGGTGGAGCAACACCCCCTCCCTCTCCCCCACCTTCTTGCTGAAAGTATCCGGGTACGAGAGCACGTCAAAATACAGCTCAGAGCCGCTCTGGTCAATGTATTGCAGTTTGTCTCCGTCGCTGTACATGATGAGGCGAGTCGAGTCGTTGAAAAGGACCCCAACGCTGTTGTCGCACAGTTGGTAGCCTGCGGGAGAGAAGGCGGGCGCATCCTCAGCTGCCTTGGATCAGGCCGCAATCCCGCAGGACTGCCTGGACGCAGCAACCCACGATACGGCTGCTGCCCCCGTGGCCGTCCGAGCCCTCCTTCGTTCCTCAGGAGCTGGGAAGCACGGGAGGAATGGCCCTGGCGGGTGGGAAGGCCCCCGCAGCACCAGGGGGGCGCCCGGAGGAGCCGGTGGGGCACAGATCGTCGCGGGGAAAATATCAGCAAGAATTAAGCGTGATTTCATAGGACATCATCCTTTAAATCTCTTTTAACTCAATCCAGAAAAAGAAGGAAGCAAAAACGGAGAGAAATTGCTGTGGTTCCGGCAAACCTGTCATCAGCCTAAATAGTGCAAAATGAGCCCCCTTTTTCCTGGGTTGGGGAGGGGGGTCAGTTTGAACCCTGACAAATTGTCAAGAGAAATTCTCTCTATATTCACATCTGACCAAATCACAATACTCTGAATTTCAGTTCACCCAGCATCGATTCCACACATCTGCTGTCCCTCGTGTGTTTTAGGGCCCCTGGGGTGCAAACTGGCCCTCCCACCAAGAGGGTCTCTGCTCTGTCCCACGAAATGCAGAAAAACCAACCGTCCTCGTAGGGGGAAATGTAGCTGGGGGTGTTGGGGGCTGTTTCTGTGGAGTGTTTCCCTCCAGAGTGCCCTTGTTTAACCCACCCACCCCCCACTCCCCCCGAGACCACCTACCTACCTAGGCCATACTTGTCAGAGTAGTCCACCCACTTGCTGATCCAGAAGATGGGAATGCAGGCCGGGTCTTCAGCCTCCTCTGGGGAGAACGAGAGAGATGCGAGTGAAGGCGGCCACCCGGGGTCGGCTGGCTCAAAAGCGCAGCCTCCAGCCAGCCGCCTCTCACCTTGCCTGATGGGAGTTTTTTCCGAGGGCCGGCAAGTGCTGACTCGCATCAGCTGCTGCAGCAGGTCGGCCAGGTAGCATGGCTGGAGGTGTCCGGGCTCCAGCAGGGTGCCAGCCTTGTCCTCCTTCTCGGGCACTTTCTCCAGGGCGGGGCTCTCTGGTCCTGCGCCAGGGAAGAAGAGTTGGCCGGAGTCAGAAGCTGCCTGGCCCAGGGTGGGCCCAGCCCCCAAACCTCGCCCCCTCCCCCCAGCTCACCCTTGTTCACCACCGCAAGAGGCCTCCTGCTGCTGGGGTCCAGGCTGCTGGGCGCCAGAGAGAAGCGGGGAGGAACCGTAAGGCAGGTGGTGGGCAGCCGCGAAGGGATGTAGCCCGTCGTGAAGAACTCCTCATTTAGCAGCTCGTCGATGGTGGGCCGGGCGGTCGGGTCGTGCTGCAGCATCTTCTGGATGAGACTCGCAGCCACGGGGTTGATGTGCTGGAGGGGCAGAAGGTCCACAGGCCATTCCTACACAATTCCCCACCACTGCCATCCCGCTACCGATGTCTGTCCCCTTGATGAGGCTATGAAGCTAGTAGTGCCAAAAGCATTACGGCCCAGGGACTTTCGTGCTTTCCTGGTGTGGAGAGAAGAACTTGGTCCTCAACACCAATAAGATTAAGGAGCTTATAGTGGACTCTAGAAAGAACAGATCAGACCTCCAGCCCTTGCTTATCGATGGAGACCGAGTGGAGCAAGAGGCAGTTTTAAGTTTCTGGGTGTTACCCTAAAAGGGGACCTGACCTGGGGTGCTCACATTGCAGCCCTGGTCAAAAAGGGCCCAGCAGAGATTATACTATCTGAGGCTTCTCAGGAAACAACAAAGGAATGAAAAACTGCTGGTGACCTTCTACCGCTGCACCATAGTGAGCATCTTAACTTACTGCACCTCTGTATGGTTTGCCAATTGCACAGTGACAGAGAAGGAAAGCACTCCAGAGGGTTAATTTCATTGCCCAGAGGATCCTGGGTCGCCCTCTCCCCTCTTTGGAAGAGCTTTATAGCTCCCGCTGCCTTAAGAAAGCTCAAAACATCCTCAAAGATCCATCTCATCCTGGGCAGACGGTACAGGGCAATAATAAAAACAAGGACAAAAAGGCTGGAAAACAGCTTCTACCCCAGGGCTGTTAAATTCTACTGTATAATAGTGCAATATTCATGCAACATCAGGTGTTTTCAATTCAATGTGTGGAATGTGAAATAGGTGTGTTTGTATTTATTTTCATGGTCATAAATTGGACACTGAAGATGGTATTGAATTTCATTGTACGAGGATGCAATGACAATAAACTGAACTAAACTTGCTAGCCTGGATTCCAAGCAAAGCAAAATGAGTTGCAGAAAAGCCAGAATTCAACCATCCCTGAAAGTTCAACAAGCAAAATGAGGAGCTAGATTGTTGGGGGGGGCAGAGGCTGACTCTGCAAACCGCTTAGAAAGTGACTGTAAAGCAGGGGTGTCCAACCTTGGCAACTTTAAGACTTGTGGACTTCAACTCCCAGAATTCCTCAGCCAGCAAAGCTGGCTGAGGAATTCTGGGAGTTGAAGTCC